TGACCAGCTGAATAGGGACAAGAGATCAGTGTGCAAGAAACAGGGGCTCCTCAGGCATGGCCGGGGGGATGGGGAGCAGGAAAGGACTTCTTGCAGCTGTCAGGTGTGTTTGGGGGCCGTAATGAGGGGTTTGTAAGAGCAGCTGGCACCCTTTGAGAAGGGGCAGAGGGACCATTTGTCAGCTCTAGGAACATGGGGGGCCTATGGGGACTTGATAGAGTGTCTTCAGTCCTCTTAAGCTGTCTGTTTTTTCTGTGGGGTGCTATACAAGAGGTATCTTATAGACTGGGATCCTATAGCTTTGTACATGCATCCCAGCAGAGGTCTGGGGACATATTTGTTTGAGACCTTTGCCAGCTGGGAAGGAGGCACCCTGCATTTTGCAGGCAGACAAGGCAATCTTAGGGTAGGGGGTGGAGATCTTCACACTCCCCCCGCCCTTGCTCTTGGCTGGACTGCCCCACTCTGGCAAGTTGTGGGCCTCCTATTTCCGTCGGGCACCAGGGTAACAGGGCAACATTAGGGACTGAGCCAGGAGACGCCCAGCCAAGACTGGGACTTGGGGATGGGGGAGGGTTCCTGAAGGATCAATCTGCAGGGCCCGGCAGATTGGGATATTGTAGAACACCTCCTGTGAGGGCTTCAGTGGGGGTTCTGGGCAAGATTCTGGGGTTCATGATCCCTATTCAGGTTATATTCTAGTCCCCAGTCCTAGATAAGCTCTATGGGGGCCTGCAACCCCTTGTCCACACATGCTATTTGAGTCACATCACCCGCACCATGAAATCCCAGGAGTTGTCTGCAACTGTGAGGACAGCAGTGGAAGCCAGAGACAGGGGGCCTTGTGTATGGGGAGGCAGGGGGGCCAGTGCGGGTGGCTGGGAGGAAGAGTCCCCCCTCCCGTTCCTGCCCTCTTGGCAGTGATTCAGAAAGGTCCTTTTTCAGCCAGTGTCAGAGCTGCTCAGCTGGGAAGGGAGGGAGGAGGAAAGGCGGGCAGACAGGCAGGCAGCAATCGGGTGGGGGAGCCAGGGAGTAAGGCTGGAGCTGTGGCCACTGCACTGGAGAGAAGACAGAAACAGACAGAGGACCCAGGCTGCAGCCAGTTGTAGAAGTACAGCGGGGCTTGCAGTAAATCAGAGGGGACTACTCTGTTCTTCTGCCCCATTTCTCATACTCATCCCCTGTGTGAGATTTGGAGGACTTGGAATAGACCTCTGGTCAACTTCCCTCTGGGCAGAGCATAAAACTCAGGAGCTGAGGCCCTTGTTCGCCCACTTCCCAGGCCACGGCCCCATTGACCTGAGTTGAGTTCTGTGGAGATGCCGGCAGCTCCAGCTCGTCGGTTCCCTGGCCTAGAGCTCTCCTTCCCTCTCCTGGCCAGACTTCGGCGACGGCTGTACACAGTGAGTGGGGGGCTAGGGTTGGACTGGCTGGGACAGGGGCAGCTCCTCATCAGCGGCACTTTACTGAGGGGCATAGGAAAACTGGGGATATTGTAGAACACCTCCTGTGAGGGCTTCAGTGGGGATTCTGGGCAAAGTGGTCTTTCCTTTCCATCTGCTACATTCATTCTGATTCGTATGTGTTAGAAAAGTAGAAGCAGGAGCTCGCTCAAGTGTGTGCTTGTATGTCAGCTACACGTGTCAGACACACATATGCAAAATCTACCCCATGCTGGGGGCCAGGAACACGCAGAATTGGACTGTCTGAACTGGAGGAAGTTTTGGCAATACTCTGCTTCAACAGACAAAGAAATGGGCTGGAGGTGGAGATAGGAGAGGGGAGGTAAACTGTCCAGGGTCACCCTGGGCTTAGCAGTAGAGACAGGACTCGGACCCTGACTCCTTTCTTCTCACTGGGATCCCAGTGTTCTTCCCAGTCTTCCCACACACCCCCTACGCAGCCATCCTGTTCTTTAGGCTGGGGAACAGGGTGGGGGGTGTTCAGCTGAGCAATTTTTTAGCTGGTGTTTCAGGGAAAGGGTACAGACCAGGCTGTGCTTTCTAAGTAGCTTCAGGATAGGCCCTCTGGGTTTTCCTCAGCCTTGATCACCCATGGCATGACTTTGGGCTGCTTTCAAGAGCCCAGAGGAGGGTAGGAATAGGAGAGCCTGGGGCCCTGAGACTTGGTTGAAGGAAAGGAGTGGAGGGGACCTATAGACTGCTTGCCCTGGTGTGGCAAACTTCTTGAGGCTTAGCTGTATCACCAGTGGGATCACTTTGCTCCAGGGATAAGGCAGTGATGATGGAAATGGTGGTGGACTCTGCTTGGCCTGGCTACAGGGAGACCTGCCCAGGCCAGTGGTTTTCACAGTGTACCTTTGGGCTTTATTCTGGGAAGCATTGATGCTCATCCACTTAAATGTCAAACCCCCATTTTTGCTGAGGATAACAAGTTAATACAATTAAAAGTTTAGTAAGCATAGTTTTGAAGTGTTGTATTTTAAAAAATCTTACTCTTCTTAAATACAATAGAAATGTAACTAGTTTACTATATGTAGTATCAGATAATCATAATGCCAACTTTATTATTTAGGAGAAATAAAATGGAAGTAGTTGACAATATTTTATGTATTCAGTATACATCTGTATACTGAACACATAAAATATTGAACAGCATAGGAAGTTGTCAGATTCTAAGACCTCAGAAAGGCAATGTCTACAAGTGCTGACAGGAAAGTTTTGAAATAAGGGTGGATTGCCTTCACTGACATTTTTCTGAATAGTAGGCTTTTACTATGTTCTGAATAAAGCAAAATCTAATCTTCTTTCAGTTTACATAGTAGTTTCATTCAAGAAAAACTCAGTGCATATTGAAACTGTGAAAATACTTTCTTATACCTGTGTAAAATGGAATTAGTCTAGGTGTGGAGGATTATGAATGTTTTCTACCTGCAGGAATTAAGTTATGTGGGATTTGGGACAGTGTTTATGACTGTCCTGTGCACTGCAGGATAACTCATGTTTGTATCCTCCAGACACCCACTAAATGTCTCAGTGTCCCCCACCCAACATTGTAACAACCAAAAATGTGCCCTAGAGGGATGTGCTTCCCTATGACAACCATCCAAATAAAGGGTTACAGCTTTAAGTTTGGAAACCACCCGGCTGGCCCAGCTGCCTGGCTCAGTTGCCTTGGTGGAAGAGCCAGGGTTTGAACTGAGGGCTTCTCATTCCCATTTGTCACTCTTTGTGTTGCTCTAAGCTGCCTGGGAAAGTCTGAGCTCTTGGCACTGAGTTGGCAGGACCACTGGGAACTGTGGGGGCAGGAGGCTCATGCTGGGCCTGGGTTGTGAGTGCCTGTTTCTCTTGGTGCATCTTATTGTTCTGAGAGCTGGGGATGAGGCCACCGCTAGGTTGTGAAGGGAGAATTGCTTGGCCCTGAGCCGGACAGCTGGCCTTTTCCCTCCTGCCTGTATTCCTCATTGGAAATGCAGTAATAGTCAGGGGCTGGCCTGACGGACCTATTTTACTTGGACAGGGTTGGGCCTGCTGTCTGGTAGGTCAGCCTGTTTACTTTTGAAGGTGCCACTGGCCTTTTTCTCTGGGTCTGAGAGTGTAGGTCAGAGGTCACTTACTGGTACTCATTGGCTGATTGTGGCCTGCAGATGTTTTGTTTTGCCAGCACAGTGTGTATGTGTCTGTGTGTTTTTCAGACTTGAACTAGTTGACATCATTTAAAAGTTAAGAGAGAGATAAAAGTGTGATATGAAATCAAGAAACAGAACAGTGTGGGTAATGTGTGAATATTTATTTGTGAGAGGGGAAAACAGTTTCAAGGGGTACGTAAAAGGCATTATTAGCATCTGGCCTTGAGAATAGGGAGATAGGTAGCTGTGCAGTAGGGGAGGAAATAATAAGACTCCTTTGTGCCTTTTGATTATTTTACTATGTGCACATACTACTTTTAAAAAAGAAATTGGAAAAAAAAACTGCAAGATTTTACGTAAATTTAGGTGTCTGATATTAAATAAATGGAAAGCTTTGATAATACTGGGCCACAGTCTCTTGTGACAACCATTGACAGGAGCTGAGCTGAGGTTGTCTGAAAGCCCACTCAGATCCCCACCCGTCCCACTTACTTTGTGGTGTGGCCCTGTAGGCATCTGAGTGGTTGCCTGTGAATTGGCCTTAGAATTGGTGGAAAAGGTCTTGTGATGTTAGGCATTGGGAGGAACTTCGTTTAGATCTTTCTGTAAGATAAATCTGATCTAAGGAGCCCATGGATGGGTATCAGGACATTACCACCCCCAAATTTTTTAATTTAAAAAAAATTTCCTTTTAATTTGTGATGGGTTTCTTTTTATATCAAGGTTTTATTTTTATCTTTATTTTTTAGGTGTAGTTGGACACAATGCCTTTATTTTATTTATTTATATGCGGTGTTGAGGATCGAACCCAGGGCTTTACATGTGCTAGGTGAGCACTCTACTGCTGAGAAACACCCTCAGCCTTTAATAAAAATTTTAGGAGCGAAAGTAGGTTTTTGGGCTGGGGATGTGGCTCAAGTGGTAGCACGCTTGCCTGGCATGCGTGCAGCCCGGGTTCGATCCTCAGCACCACATACAAAAATATTGTGTCCGCCAGAAAAAAACTAAAAAATAAATATTGAAAAATTCTCTCTCTCTTAAAAAAAAAGTAGGTTTTGTTTTCTGAAGAAATAATATATAGTTTTTAATCAGATTTCAAAGGGCTTTTAAAGACCTCTGGAAACTTAGAAGCAGGCGAGGAAATTGAGCACAAAGAAGTGATTTCTGGTCACAACAGCCATAGATCATATATGTTGTGATTAAGACTCTGACTCCTGACTGTTCCAGGGCCAGGGCTATATCTTAGCTGCTGCAGTTCTACCCTTGTTGATGGCAAGAATAGGGACATATAGGTATAGCTGTTTTGGGAAGCAAGCAGGTGGTCTCAGTTCTAGGCATCTATATAGTAAGATGTCACTTTGCCACTTCCCTGCATCCCTTGGTCCCTGAGCCATTTTTCCTTTCTCCACAGAGGCTGGGGAGCAGCAGCATGCAGCCAGAGGAGGGCACAGGCTGGTTGCTGGAGTTGCTGTCTGAGGTGCAGCTACAGCAATACTTCCTTCGTCTTCGGGATGACCTCAATGTTACCCGTTTGTCCCACTTTGAATATGTTAAGAATGAGGACCTGGAGAAGATTGGCATGGGCCGGCCTGGTAGGTGGGACATTTGCCTTCCTTGCTTTTCCCCTCTGACCATTAACTTCTTCTGTCTTTTTTGGTGGTACTAAGGATTGAACCCAGGGCCACTCTTGTTGGGAAAACATATAACGGCAGCAGCACCCCAGAGAAAAACCCCAGCATGGTGTCTAACGACCCTCTTTCTCCTCTTTGTTTCTTTCACTGCCGCGAAACGTTCCCCGCCAATGTTCAGACCCTGCTGGTGGGAAGCCTTAGCCCCAGTTAGAATTAACTTCTTGGGCTCCGGAACTGACATATGGAAGAGCTTGCAAATAAACAGGTGACCTGTTATCTACCTCAGCCCTGAGACCTCTCCTTAGACCTATATAAACACATAGCCTTTTATAATAAAGCGGAAACCTCTTTGGTGATCTGTGTCGTGTGGTGTGGCGTCTTCCAGTCTTACAACTCTCCCACTAAGTTACCTCCCCAGCCCTTTTTCTTTTGAGACAGGGTTTTGCTAAGGTGCAGCGGCTGACCTTGAACTTAAGCTCCTTCTTTCTCATGCTCCTTAATAGTACCTTCTCTGTCCTTAGGACAGCTGAGCACATGTTAGAATCCCTTTCTCATGGTTCCATGGGGTGGCAGCTGAGACCTCTGTTTGCCTGTTCCAGAGACCCTGAGGTGGAGTGGGAGGGGCATCAATAGATGCTGCACACAGGATTCACTGGGAACAATTTGCAGTTGTAAAGGTCAATCAGTTTGAGGAGAATGTAGTCTTAACTTGAGGCTCTGCTACTCAAAAGTAAATACATACCCCTTTTTGTTTGATCAGATATTTGTAGGATGTATTCCCTTACCCTTTAATAAGCAGATTTGGACTATTTTGTTTACTATTCTGAATACTAGTGGGGTCAGTGCCCAGAGATCTAAAGAGAGAAGGTAGGATAAAACTTCCCTCTAATTTGAACTCATTTCTTTGTTTCTCTCCTTAAAGAAATGGTTGTAGCATCTAGAAGTCATGGCATTCTTCAAAGAACATTAGAAACCTATCAGTACATTCAACTTAAAGTAGCAAGGGTAGTAATGTGCTAAAATAGATATCAATTTATACTGCTTTTAGCTTGGATAGTTGGTTTCTCATACCAGTAACATAAGAAAATTTTATGAGAAGAAAACTAAAAATTGAGAAAATTTAATCCATTACCTTGATTTTTCTTGAGTTGAAAAGACTGCTACTATTCAATTTTTGTGGTTAAACACTTCAATCTAGTTTGGGAACCATTGCCTAGAAGTGGAATGTAGTGATCATCTGATTAATGGAAACTCCTGGCAGGTTGAGATTGATTTAGTTAGTATCATTGTGGTGGGCAGTGTCTAGTGATGGGCCTACTCCATGAGGACCGAGGAAGCCTGTGAGGAGGACAGCAGCCTCTCCAGGGAGTGAGGGCTATCTAATAACATCTGATCTCATTCCTTCCTTGCAGGCCAACGGCGGCTGTGGGAAGCTGTGAAGAGAAGGAAAGCCATGTGCAAACGCAAGTCCTGGATGAGTAAGGTGGGTGAGTGAAGAGTGGGGTCTGGGCAGCCTCAAGAGCCTCACTCTGCTGCCAGTCCTAGAAACCTTCCCCCATTCCCCAGGCAGGTATAATCTCGCTCTGTTTCCCTATACTTTGTACTGACCTCCCTCCTCCAGGGTCTTATCAAGCAGGGCAATTGTAGAGCTGGCCAAGACAGACATGTGAGCAGCCTGTGTGCAGCAAGGTCTTCATAGTCCCTCTTGGTGCGTGGGAACAGGAGCATCTTGACGGTGCATCTCTATTTGAACCTCGTTCTGGCTGAATGTTGGGGCCAATGGCCTTTCTTGGGGCCACTGGCCTTTCTTGGTGTGCGGGGTGGTAGGGACTGTCTGGACATCTTGCCTTATTTCCTCTTACCCACCCTTTATGGTCTCTAGGTATCTGTGGTCATCTGGCCCTATCATAACTTCCTTGGGGGCCTCCCCGACTACCTTGTCCTAATTTTGGTCTGTGGTGTAGTCAGTCCCAGGTCTGACTCAGTGGAGCTTTGCCCATTGTCTAGAAGACAATGAGAGAGGAAATGATCCAGCTGGGGCCTCCCTCCCTACTTCTGGCCTCAGGGCTGGCGTAGATTGGGGGATGGGCAAGACAGAACAGCTGGACTGGGATTGGGCAGTAGAGATTTCCTGACTGCAGTCTGGCAAAAGGACTGTCTCTTGGGATCCTGTGGCCTTTTCTGGGGACACATTTCTGGGCCTGGCCCAGGTTTTAGAGAAGGAAGAATGTCTTGGGGCTGGTAAAGGCAGGAAGGTGGAGCTTTGTATGTACTGGGATTTGGGGTCTCCCATCAGCTCACTGTAGGTTTCTGGGAGGTCTGTGACCCTCTCCAGACTTTAGTTGTATCTTCAGCAACAGTGCTAGTCCCATTACCCAGCTCATCTTGCAGGGCTTTGGAGAGCCTAGGCTCATCCTGGAATTAACGATTGTGAAGGGCCTTATAAGATGACATTGCTTGCAAACATAAGGAAGTCCAGTTTACTGGCAGGAAAGATGGAATGAGGCCAAAAGAGACCCTCAGAATTGAGACACCTCCTAGCACATTTAGATAAGGTTCCATTAACTTTTAAATGGGACAGAAAGAATCTTCAGCCTGAAGCCATACCCTGGTACCCCAGTGAATGTGGCTAAGTCAGACTGACATGCCACCGCTGCTGTTACAGCTTTTTCCCTCCTGTCCTCTGACCTTTGGCCCCTTCCTCTCCAAACTGGACCTCAATGTCTCTAGTCCTCATTCTTTTTCAGATCTTAATTCTAGGCACTCCTCCAGAAACCCAGCTGTCTTCCCAGTAAACACACACACACACACACACACACACACACTCTCTCTCTCTCTCTCTTTCTCTCTTTCTCTCTTTCTCTCTTCAACCTCATACTAAAATTATCCTCTCCCCTGGGCAGTATGAAGGGCAGCCGAGTCCCTAGGGAGGGTGGAGACAGACAGCGCCAAATGGTCAACCCAGAGTAGGGGCCAGGGCTAAAAATGGACCGAGAGGTGTTTGTGGAGGGCCCCTCAGGCTCTTGCCCCAACTTTATGGGTTAAGGGCTGGAGCCTGTGATTGGTAGAGAGTGTAGGAAGGGAGGGGTGGAGCATGAGGAAGCCAGGGAGGAGACTCAGACTTAGGAAGCAAAGTGCCTGTGGCTTTGTGGTGTCTCAGTACCCACGTATGGGTGTGGGGCCACCACAGTCACTGGCTGCATGCCAGTCAGTCTGTTTCATATACTTACCATGAAGCCACTCTGCTGTGGGTTCCCTGTAGGGGGTGTGATATGGAGGGAGTATGGACTTCCAGCCAGTCTGTCCTCTGGCCATATAATTCAACTTCTCTGAGGCTGAGCTGAGGTGCAGGTAGACTTAGAAGGGTGGAATCAAGTGACTGGCTCTGGTGCCCTGGGTTCCATCTTGCTCCTGGCTGCCTTCAAACAGGTATTCAGTGGAAAGCGGCTGGAGGCTGAGTTTCCCCCTCACCACTCTCAGAGCACCTTCCGGAAACCCTCGCCCACCCCAGGGGGTCCAGTGGGCGAGGGGCCCCTGCAAAGCCTCACCTGCCTCATTGGGGAGAAGGACCTGCGCCTCCTTGAGAAGCTGGGAGATGGCTCCTTTGGCGTAGTGCGCAGGGGCGAGTGGGATGCCCCTGCAGGGAAGACGGTGAGCTCCATGTCCCATGGATGGTGTTGGAGTGGTGGGGCCCCTGAGACTACTAGTAGAGGCTCTTTCCCCCTCTGATGGGTTGTGAATGTACTTGGGGACAGGTCATATAAAGTGGCTTATCATGGAGTCTGTGCTCAGGATTAAGTAAGTACATTGTTTCCTTTTTTTAATTATAAAAATTATTTATTTATTATAAAAGTTTGGCAACAAATCAAAAGTCTTAAAAAAACTGACTGTAATCCCACCACTCAGAGGAAGCAGAGTTAGTGTTTCTGCCTTTTATCCTCCCTCCATTAATTTATTGGATTTAGTTGACTTGTACTTCTTTTTCCAGTACTGGGTATTGAACCCAGGGATGTTCTGCCATTGAGCTACATCACCAATTCTTTATATTTTGAGATAGGTTCTTGCTAAGTTTCCCAGGCTGGCCTCAAACTTGGGATCCTCCTGCCTCAGAGTCCAGAGTCACTAGGAGTGTAGGCAATCCTGGTGCCACCATGCTCTAGTTAAATACTTAACCACTGAGCCGTATCCCTAGCACTTTTTTATAATTTATTTTGAGACAGGGTCTCACTGAGTTGTTTAGGACCTTACTAAGATGTTGAGGCAGGCAGGAGGACTGTTGAGTTCAAAGCCAGGCAGGCTTTGAACTCACAGTCCTCCTGTCTCAGACTCTTAAGCCACTGGGATTACAGGCATACACCACCATGCCCGGCCTCTAGTTAAATTTTAGATACAAACTTTGGATATAGCTCTTTAGATTTTATCCTTTTTCCTTGGTGTTATATTTTAAACGTTTTTCCCCTAGGGGATAACATGTGCACTAAAGCATACAATTAAGTGAGTTTTTACTTATGAATAGAATCTATGAGCACTGACCAATTGTGTGTGAGCAATTACCCACACCCCAGGAGGTTCTGAGGCCCCTGCCACTTAGTATCCCCATCCTCCAAAGGAGGGTAGTCCTACTTCCAGCACCATAGGTTAGTTTTTGGCATTGTATTGAAAGTAGTTTCCTTCCATACCAAAGACTTTTTAAAAAATATTTATTTATTTATTTTTTAGGTGTAGATGGACACAACACAATGCCTGTATTTTTATGTGGTGCTGAGGATCGAACCCGGATTCTACCTGTACTAGGCGAGCGCTCTACCGCTGAGCCACAATCCCAGCCCCCATACCAAAGACATTTTTAATAGTCTATCTTATTATAACATGTTAGTATTCTGTCATCATATGGGTCATCTCTTACCTTAAGGTTTCTATTTAACTTAAGGTTGGAATTTCCCAGAAGGGGAGTCTATCCAATGGCTCCCAAGGGTCAGCCAGTAGTCTTTCCCTCTCCAGACCCTGACAGAATGTGTAAGCCCAGCACTGATGACATGCCCATCCACCCAGGCGTGTAGATCTGAGGCAGGGATTTTCAAGCTGAGTTAGGGGGAAGTATAGGTTATCTTAAGAGTGTTGGGGGCCAGGCAAGTCCTGACTCCCTACAAATCCTGCTTTGGCCAGGTGAGTGTGGCTGTAAAGTGCCTGAAGCCGGATGTGCTGAGCCAGCCAGAGGCCATGGACGACTTCATCCGGGAAGTCAATGCCATGCATTCACTTGACCACCGAAATCTCATTCGCCTCTATGGTGTGGTGCTTACACCACCCATGAAGATGGTGAGTGTTGTGGGCAGGAGGGGCTGAGGACAGGAAGCTGCCTGTGGGTTGTGGTCCCCTAGGTGTGCCTCTCCTACTACCCGTGTTGACAGGGCTCCCCAGATCTACCTGATGTGACAAAGGAGCTCATAGGGGCCCAGCTCAGTACTTGTTATATCATTTCTGGATTTTGCTATTGCTTATTGGCAAAGAGTTATACCCATGGGAGGGGCTGACCATATATGAATTTTTGGAATTTCTAGCCTGAACCTCTTTGGTCTGCTTCTTTCTCTCTGAGCCTAAATTTCCCCCATTGCCTGGAAGGAGAGACCTGAAAAGCTGTAGGACTTGGGAGGTTCCTAATCAGCTTCTTTGCTGCTGTGACCAAAAGACCTAACAAGAACAATCAGAGGAGGAAAAGATACTTAGGTACTCACAGTTTCAGAGGTCTCATTCTGTAGATAGCTAGCTCCATTCCTCTGGGCTTGAGGTGAGTCTGAACATCAGGGTAGAAGGGTGTGGCAGAGAGAAGTGGCTCAAGACATCACACTAGGAAGCAGAGAGAGAAAGAGAGACCTCTGCTTAACAAGGACAAAATGTGTTCCTCAAAGGCACACCTCCAATGACCCACTTTATCCAGCCACACCCTACCTGCTTCTAGTTAATCCCATTGTGGGATTAATTCACTGATTGGGTTAAGGCTCTCATAACCCATCATTTCACCTCTGAACCTTTCTGCATTGTCTTACATTTGAGCTCTTTGAGGACACATATCTAAACCATAACAAAATGTTAGGAAGAAACATTGAGTGGGCTGTTCAGAGAGGGGTTGGACTCATTCAGATTTATTCCTCCTGTTTTCTCTGTGGCATCAGGTGACAGAGCTGGCACCTCTGGGATCTTTGTTGGACAGACTACGTAAGCATCAGGGTCACTTCCTCCTGGGGACTCTGAGCCGCTATGCTGTGCAGGTGGCTGAAGGCATGGGCTACCTGGAGTCCAAGCGCTTTATTCACCGTGATCTGGCTGCCCGAAATCTGCTATTGGCTACCCGTGACTTGGTCAAGATTGGGGACTTTGGACTGATGCGAGCACTACCCCAAAATGATGACCACTACGTCATGCAGGAACATCGCAAGGTGCCCTTTGCCTGGTGAGGGGCAGGTGCTGCTGGCTCAGAGGGTGTGGACCCACCCTGGTCCCAACCGATCCAAGCCTAAAGCTTTTGCAGCCCTTGGCTCTGCCTGGGCCTGCCCTTGCCTGTTCTGGGCCTGGAGTGTCCTTATGTAGGGTACTGGAAGGCACAGGCATAAATGCTATGGGCTCAAGGCTGTGCTACTTAGTAGAGTATTAAAAGACTTCCTAGAGGATTCAATGTTAAGGTCCTAAAATATTAGAAGGTTAACCAGGCGATACAGATTGGTAAGTATGTTTTAGGTAGAGCTACTGTCTGGCAGGGCCAGACTGAACTGGGCCTCATAGGCTGCTCACCTGTGTGCTGTCGTGGCTCCCAAAGTTATGATCAAGAAGTCCCTGACCTCTATGTGGGCTTCTTCTGTGATGAGATCATGTGGTCCCCTAAAGAAGAATAGTCTTTATGATAGAGGGAATTTGTACAGTTGTACTTGCTAGAGCTTTGGGTGTGGGCAACTTTGATAATTCAGGATATATGCTCACCCTGGTTAATAACTGACTCTGTACCATGGGTAACCATATATCCTGGATTATGTCTGGAGTGATTAATAGCATCCTCTCTTGTATTCAAACATCCTGATTTGAGTGATAAATTATGAGGTCACCTTTTTTTTGGGCGGAGGTGGGGGTGTGGTATACCAGGGATTGAACTCGGGGGCATTTTACTATTGAGCCATTGTATTTTATTTAGAGACAGGGTCTCACTGAGTCGCTTAGTGCCTCACAGTTGCTGAGGCTGGATTTGAACTCGCAATCCTCCTGCCTCAGCCTCCTGAGCTGCTGGGCTTATAGGCATGCGCCACCACACCTGGCATGAGGTCATCTTTTTTTTTACTGCCCCTTGAAACAACCTTGTGGACTGCGTAGGTTATTATTCCCATTTCACAGAAGAGGAAAATGAGGCTTAGGGATCTTGGGTGACTCTCAGAATTCCATTTTGAGAGAATCCCATGAGAGATCTTTCTATTCCATCCAAGGTGCATGTTCCTCATTCTGTACCTCAGTGCACCCTGGGAGACCCCTTTTCTAACTTCACCATAGTGCTATTTCTCCCACACTCAGGAGTGAGCACAGGGTGAGTGTGGGTGTATTTGGGTAAAGCCAATGTAACTGTTTGCACCCATTTTATTTTTTCCCCAGGCTCTGTCTGAATTTTCCATCCATACCTTTATGCTGAAATGGTTTCAAAGCCTGTGCTCTTCCACAAAGCTAGAAATTGTCATCCTTCTACCAGAGAAAATAGCATGAGACCTCATCATCCCTTCCTGTTTTAGGGCTTTCTGACCCCTTCCTTCTCCCTGCTTCCCTGACAGGGAAACCCCTTCCTCCTTCTCTCATCCCGGGCTTTATGTGAATAACAGACCTGAGTATAGATGATTTTTCCCAAGGTTGTGCATCATATGATCAAGAAGTCCTGCCCTTCTCTGTGTAATTCATACCATGTTGAACCTGGCACATAGAGCAACAGTAAATGCTTATCAAATCAGTATTTTATGTCCATTTGGGTTGATGCCAGTAGAGGCGCTCAAGAGCCCTTCTCTTTGACTCTTCCTCTGCCAGGTGTGCCCCTGAAAGCCTGAAGACACGTACTTTTTCCCATGCCAGTGACACCTGGATGTTTGGGGTTACGTTGTGGGAGATGTTCACCTATGGCCAGGAGCCCTGGATTGGCCTCAATGGCAGTCAGGTAAGGAGCTGTGGATGTGTTCCCTGTTGGATGGGTGGGGCGTAATTCTGTCCCTGGTTCCTAGCCTGGTCTTTTTGGAATTGTCTGATATCTGATGTACTCCCTCCTATTTCACACCCCATGTTTGTTCCATCTATAGAGAGCTGAGCAAAGAGAGGGATCACCCTAGTAGATCAGGGGAGAGGAGAAGTGGGATTGGCTCTCATTCATTAGTCTTTGCCACATCCTGCTGTTCTGAAGCCACAGGCCTGGGCATAATGGTTGAGACTCTGGGGATGGGCCTTTCCCCAGCAGATTTCTTCTTTGGAGGATAGATAGGGTAGCTAGCAGTTCCAGTTCTAGGATGGTCTGGTGGGAAGGTGGGAAGTAAAGAGCTATCTATCCTCCAACTATGTACTGACCCACCATCAGATTCTGCATAAGATTGACAAGGAGGGGGAGCGCCTGCCCCGGCCTGAGGACTGCCCCCAGGACATCTATAATGTCATGGTCCAGTGCTGGGCTCATAAGCCGGAAGACAGACCCACCTTTGTGGCCCTGCGGGACTTCCTGCTGGAGGTGAGGAAGAGGTCTTGTCTGCTCATAGGATCTGGGGTATCTAAGCAAGGAACCACCTGAGAGTTAGTCTCAAGGTGGTCAGTGACCTGTCTTTGTCCCTAGGCCCAGCCCACTGATATGCGGGCCCTTCAGGACTTTGAGGAACCTGACAAGCTACACATCCAGATGAATGATGTCATCACTGTCATTGAGGGAAGGTAGGGCTGAGTCCTGCACTGGGATTTCTTGAAGAGCACAGGTTGGACGGGCATTCCTCTAAGGTTCCCATGGCAGCACTTGGACTGGTGGCAGGCCTGAGTGTCAGTGTGCCATGGCAACTGGCTTGAATCAGCTTCCTGAGAGAAAGGGTCAGGATGTGGATGCTATAGTTCAGATGGGATTTTTCTTAACTCTGCCTCTGTTACCCTTGTCCCACTGGGCCCCAGACCTGGCTGTGTAGATCAGGGGCAAGCTGCCATTATGTTGAAGAATAGAATGTTTCCCAGTCTAGTGTTAAGGCCAAAGCAAGCAGAGCACTTGACTCCTGGGTATTCCTCCTCTCATCATCCCTCTCTGCCTTTCTTCCTTCTTCTTCAGCATAGACTCCTTTCTTTTTTTTGGTCTGGGGATTGAACCCAGGGGCATTGTACCACAGAGCTACATCCCTAGTTTTTGGGTGGTTTGTTTATCTTGAGACAGGATCTGGCTAAGTTACTTGGGGCCTCACTAAATTCACAGCATAAGACTCTTGACGATCCACCCAGGTGTGTCTCAAGACCCAAAAGCAGCCTGTCCTTGCCTAGGTCCAACTTTGTCAGCTGTCCATCCATGTGGACATCTTTTTTGTCTCTTCATATCATTTCCACATGGCCCTCTCCCAGGGCTTCAGAGTCTTGGGTTTCCCTCTGTCCTCAGCTTGGGACTTTCTTCTTCCCATTCTTCCAAGTCACCCTTTTCAGGACTGTTTTTCAAACTTCCTTCCTGCCCCCCACTGGCTAAAACTCAAATCTTAGACTCACACCTGAATCCCCTGTTAATAATTCTAGGGCCTGCCTTGGAGGCCTCGCCCTCTTCTGGCTCCACCTTTTGTTATCTGATCCCCAGGGTGTCTGAGGAACTGGTTAGGGCAGGCTGGAGATGCCTTTGGGGCAGGGGCTGAGTGTTGAGGACTGGGAAGACTGAGGCAGAGGGAATTCCCTGTTCTGTCCTCTTCTGACACAAAATCAGGCAAGGATATGTGTCCCACAGAACCCTTTCTGCCTGGACTTTGGGTTGGTGGGCCTGTTGGGGCAGTGGTTAAATCTTGTGTCCCATGGGGACTGGCCAGTGGAGTAAGTCTCTGGGTCTGAGTCTAAGTGGTGGAACAGGCCCTATATTCCCTTTTCCTCTGCCCCAGGTCAGGGCTCCCTCACCTTTGGGCCTAGTATCTGGGATAGAATGACATTCTAGCAGATTGCAGGAGTACATATGGTTGGGGAGTTAGTTGTGGTAGAATAAAGCAGAAAATTGCTAGGAGAGACCTGGAGTATAGGAAGAAACAATCTGCGGGTTTATAGCTGAGTTGGCAAGGAAAGGGTTTATAGGCTTGGCACTTTGGAGAGCAATGTGGAAATAGGAAGATTGAGGGTGAGCCCTCTCTGGAGGTACCTAGCAGGAGCTTAAACCATAAGTCTGGGCCTCAAACCAACAGGCTGGTGGGAAGGGTAACCCCACTCCAGAGAGCCTTCGGCCTGACCACCCCTCCTATGCTCCTGTAACTCCAGATTTTTACCATCCCCATCTCCTCTCAGGGAGCCTGGGGGTGACTCAGGAGCTTCCTGTGTTTGCTGGGTGTGTATCTCTGGAGCTGGCGCCCTGGGTTACTGTGAGCAAAGCAGGCTGCGGGAGGGGTTGGGGGAGCGGGAGGGGTTGGGGGAGCGGCTTCTCTTGGAAGGCTGTCTTAGGTGCACCCTGTCCCACCCTTCCGTCACAGGCTTTGGTTGTATCCAGCAGCAGGTTCTGCCACAGGTTGCTGCTGTCACCAATGGTTCACCACACAGGGCTCCTCCTTCTGGGCCATCAGCCTTGACTAGGACAACAGTGCCTGCCCTGGGTCCCTGGAGCTGCTCAGGAGGTGGGAGGTGAGGGGCAGGAGGCCACAACAGCCGGTGAGGCTTTGGGAGTGGGCCTTTGTGTTGGTGGTACCAGAGCTTTACCAGAACTCTGCCCTCTTGTTTTCTCAGTCCCTGAATATCTCTTTGTTTGTTTGGCTTAGTCTGTCTCCATGTCCTAGGGTGTATGGGCCATTTGTGTCTCTGTGAGCGATGGTTTGCATATGAGGGCCTCTGTTTCTCTGGCTCTTACCTCTCTCCTTATCTGGGCTCTTCTCTTGGTTTTTGAATCCCTCCTTGCTAAAGCCATTTTCACTGTGTTTCCTAGTTCAGAGCCTGGGAAGCCACTTGTCTGTCTCTAGCTCTGACTGATTCTGTAGGCTCAGTGCTTCTCAGAATGCCAGGCAGTGGGCAGAGAATACACCTTGGTGGTTTGTGAGCTGAACTTAGGAGGGACAAATGATGACTGGTCTTTCCCAAAGGATCTTATTTAGAGGGTGGGATGTCTGGTAGTAGTCATTTTACATTCTATTTTTACAGAAGTGATAAAGGGCTCAGAATTTGAAATCCATTTTCAGGTCCTTGGCCTGGCCTGGCCTTGAGCCTCTACTTTCAGTGGAGGTGTGTGTTGGGGAAGGCACTAAATATCTGGGTTATCCTGGGAGGCCAGAGGCTCCCAGAGACAAGGGGCAGGGATAGGGTGTGTATGTATGTGTGTGTGTGTGTGTGTGTGTGTGTGTGTGTGTGTGTGTGTGCGCGCGCGCGCGCGCACGCTTGCTTAGGTGATGATTTGTTAAGCCATTTCTGAACTACCTTAACCTGGATAAGAATTAGGTGCTGAGATTTCTAAAGCTGGGGCATCCTTAGACAATTCTCAGCCCAGGCCATAGTTTCCTGTCTTCTCTGCCCTAGGGGATCTGTTAGGAAGCCTGAAGGGAGGGCAGCAGGAAGTAGAAAGTTCTCAGTGAAGATGCTGAACCCTTTTTTCACTCACCCCGGGCTTTCTCATATGTCTGCTTCATTCATTGTGGATGGCTGGCTTGGCCCTCCAATCAGTGTGGAGATTTTAATCTGTGTATAACAGGAAGAGAGGGTATGGCTGGAGCAGGCTGGTGGGAAGGGCTAGCCTTGGACCTGTGGGCTGCTGGCACCTTGGCCCCACTGAGCCCCAAAGGCATATGTGGGATGTGGCATTGACCATCTTGGAATGTTCATTTGAGCCTTGTCAGGAGAGAATTCTGCCTCTGAGTGTGCCTGGGTACAATCCCAAAAGACTTCTCTTCCTCTAGTAGCAAGCATGATTTTGAAAAATGATGTTGGGACTCTCAGTGGCCATGGGATTCTGGCCTGGGCTGTACCTGTAATAAGGGCAGGTGACTTTGGTGTCTTCTTTCACTCTTAGAAGTGGATTCAGAAGGAGGCATCTGTGGGAGGAGCTGGGCTGTGTTGGTAAAAGGAAAGATATAGAGGGAATGAACTCTAAGTGAGCACTTCTAAGGAGGTGTGGAGAACAGTCCCATAGCCGCCCCCAGGGTGGCAAGGGGCTACCCTATAGAGGGCACCACCAGAGAGCCTGTGGTATTAGGGGGAGCAGCACTGGGGCCTGTCTTTCTAGGCTGGTGCTAATCTGCCAGCTTTCATGGGTGGCTCTGTGTGTGGTGGGAAGCCTTTTTCTCCTACTTAGAATGGCCTTGCTATTTTCAGATGGGTCTTGTCCCTTTTTAGGGTACTGTCTTCTCTTCTTCCTTCCTTTCCTGCCCTTCCCACCCTGAAGGCAGGGTGTAATCACAGGGTTGCTGTGTCTGGTGGTGGGCCAACCAGGCAACCTTGTTTACAAGGAGGCTAGCTGAGAGAGCTTGGCACCTCCTCCCCGGCTCCACTTCTCACCTCCCTAAGGACTTCTGTGCTCATGGGGTGTGAACATTGGTCTCTAGGACAGGCTGTTTTGGGGGTCACACCATCCCAGCTGGGCTGTATTATCTCAGGGAGCAGTGGGTCCAGATGCTCAGGCATCATCCCTTCCCCCATTCTCCTCAACCTCTCTGATCTATTGCATTTTGGAGGATACGTTTTGTGTGTTTCTGGCTGTGGGACCGGTGACATGAGGGTGAGGGAGTGACAGGATAGACAGCATGGTGCCACATGTGTCATAGCAGACCAGATTCTGCCCATGTCACCAGGTATGAGAAATTCTAACAGTAGGTACAGACATCTCACAATCTGTCACAGCTTTGGGGGTATTGGAGTATCCAGAGGATACCTCTGTTCTTTTTTTAAAAAATTTTTTTGTAGTTGTAGATGGACAGTATACCTTTATTTTACAGAATACCTTTATTTTATTTGTTTACTTTTATGCAGTGCTGAGGATTGAACCAGTGCTTCATGCATGCTAGGCAAGCGCTCTACCACTAAGCTACAGCCCTAGCCCCGAGACCTCTGTTCTTTTCCACTTGTCTGCCTGCCTGCCATCCTAGCCCAGGCCTGGTTTAGGCTACATCAACATAGGCTTTGTGTCTAAGGGCAGAGAGAGTGAAGGTCTGAGGGTCCCATAGTCTGCCTACATTGTGAGTTCTGAGTTTCTTTCTAGAACTCTCATATTAATATAAGAATAGAACTCCCAAGGAGATGGGCAAGGTGGCAAGGACCCTAGTTCCATAACCCTATCCCTTAGATATAGGGAGCACTGGCAGAAAGAAGTCTTGGCTTGCCCCAGGTGCTTCCAAATACTTGAAGGCCTGCACATAGAAGATGGATTGTGGTTTGAGGGTTCCAAGCTCAGTGCTAAGGCCCACAGTGCTCCCTTGGTCCTCTGCATATGTTAAAACTTCTGGAAACTGGCTGAAAAATGAAATCTGATGCCAGAAGAGGACTAGAGCCAGGCCTTGCCAGAGGAGTAGGGAGGCAAGATAGTATTGTGAGAGGAGTTGCTGGCTTTACAAACTTAATACCTGGATTTGAATCCTGGGTCTGCTGCAATCATTCTGGTAACCATAGGCAAGTTATGTCACTTGTTGCAACCTGTTGCCTTATTTGTAAACTATAGGAAAAGCTGCCTGACCCATCTTGGGATGTTAGGGTAAGACTGTGAACAAACAGCCAGGCCCTGTTTAGGGAGTGGCAGGTCATGGGGGTGTACTTGGGGAGGTGGGATAATGCAGACTGTCTAATTCTGAAGCCTATCTTTTATGTTGCTGTTCTGCCAAGATGGCAGTTTCTGTTGGCAAAGAGCTTGGTTTGAGAAGGGCCCCACTACCTGGGCAGTCCCCTGCCCCCATGCCAGGTATCTACCTTGTCATCTCTGTTGGGCAGGGCTGAAAACTACTGGTGGCGTGGACAGAACACACGGACGCTGTGTGTAGGACCCTTTCCTCGCAATGTGGTGACCTCCGTGGCTGGTCTGTCAGCCCAGGACATTAGCCAGCCCCTGCAGAATAGCTTCATCCACACAGGGCATGGCGACAGCGACCCTCGCCACTGTTGGGGCTTCCCTGACAAGATTGACGAGTAAGTACCTGGACAAGGCCACTGGTCCTACCTGGCCCAGGGATCCCAGGATCAGCAGCCCCTTACCACACTACACATAAGCTCTCATGGGCTCCTTACACTTTGTATTTGTCTTCAGCCCCAGATCCTCGCTACTTTTCCCTCCTGATTTTTATTTTGCTTTAGGGAAACTGTGGAACCCTAAAAAGTTCCACCTGAGAGTCAGGATTCCCTCTCTTCTGTTTTTTTTTTTTTTTAAAGAGAGAGTGAGAGAGGAGAGAGAGAGAGAGAGAATTTTTTTAATATTTATTTTTTAGTTCTCGGCGGACACAACATCTTTGTTGGTATGTGGTGCTGAGGATCGAACCCGGGCCGCATGTATGCCAGGCGAGCGCACTACCGCTTGAGCCACAGCCCTCTCTTCTGTTTTTGAGTTTGTTATATTATTTACTCTGTAAGATGGGCACATTTATCAGATGGGGTTATATATTCACCTATGAAGTAAGGATTGTAAGTATAAGTATACTCTGGTTTTTTTGGCGGGGGGTACTGGGGATTTTGAACCCAGGAGCAAAGACAGAGTCTTGCTGAGTTGCTTAGGGCCTCACTAAGTTGCTGAGGCTGACTTTGAACTCAAAATCCTCCTGCCTCAGTCTCTTGAGCTCCTGGGATTAGGTGTGTGTCACTATGCCCAGCTGAATTAGAAAGCATTGCTGGGGGAAGGGCAACAGAATAGAATAGACAATATGATTGATGTATGTACATTTCATGTATGTATTATATGTCAAAATACATTCTGCTGTCATGTATGACTAAAAAAATTTAAAATAAATCGTATGGCAAAAAAAAAAAAAAAGAAAAAGAAAAGAAAGCATTGCTGGGTGTAGTGGCGGACGCATGTAATCCGGTACCTCGAGAGGCTGAGGCAGATGAAAATCAAGTTTGAGGCCAGTCTCAGCAACTTTTGCAAGATCTTATTTCAAAAAATATTAAAAAGGCTGGTGATGTGGCTAAGTGGTGAAGCACCCTTGAGTTTAATTCCTGTTACCAAAAAAACCCCACAAAAATAACCAAAAAACAAAACCAAAAAACACAGGTCATGAATTACCAAGGTTAGACCCACATTTTGGCTTGGTAGTAAGGTTACCAGGGCCGTGGCCTTATGGCCTTCTGGCACATTGGCTTTGGGAAGATAGATTTTGGAAGCAATTTAGTTTGAAAGCTCTGACCTGTATTTGAGCAGTTTTCCTGCTGCTGGTACCAGAGTCCTGGCAATGTGAGCCTGCGAGGTCAAGCAGAAATGCCCTTCTTCCCAGAATCAGGGGAACTGTCCTGGAGGGAGCTTCCTGAGCTTCAGGGGGAACAACAATGGCTGCTAGCTATCCCCACACCAGAACTTACTATGACTGGTAGGGGATTGTAGTCTCCTTTAAGTAAAGAGTAAGGTCACTGGGAGGCATCTGGGAAACCACAGAAAAATTAGGCACTTCCTGGGTGCCTCCCCCTAGGGAACCCCCTGGCAGCTTCTCCTTCATACCTGTTGGCAGCCCTCTCCCCTGCTGACTTCTCCTAAAGGGCATGGTAAAGCAGTTCTCCACACTGCATGTCCGGCACACTGGAACACTAGCCTCTGAGAGGGCTCAGTCAGGGTCTCTTTCCTTATAAAACTCAGGCCACAACCTGTGAAAGCTGGGGGAACTTCCAGGAGGAGGCCAGTGCCCTCTGTCCCACTCCTGGCATGTCATGGCCAGCCCAGCCCCATTCCTCTGGGCTTTAATCAGCCTCAGTGACTAATTCCCAGATACTAATAGTTGGCACAGGGGCTAAGGATGAATCTGAAGTAGTGCAGGTGGCCCAACTTCTCCTGTAGTTGAGCAGAAGGATGCCTTCTGTCACCATGACCAGGGGGACTGGAGCTCAGAATATTTCTGCCCCAGGCTCTTCCAGCAGGGCCTGCAGGACAGAGGAGTGTGCACCAGTAAGTAGCTGCCTACAATGGATTGGGTGTAGGTGGGGAATTGAAGACCCTCTCTGCCCTTAATGGCAGAAGGCTTTTCAACTTGGGTTTAGATGTCCTTTCTCTGTCCTTTTTCCATGACTCTTGTCTGGCTACAGCTTACTTCTATACAAGGGATCAGGATCTGTGGATTGGGAGTTGGGAGCCCAGCCCAGCTGTCTCTTAAAATGAAGGGGCCTTAATGTTGTTTTACCCTGGACACATTCAGTATTTTATTTTCTGCCTAAACCCAGGGGATAGGCTCAGAATTTCTTCCAGAGATTTCCTCACTGCCATTACTTTACACTCTGAACTGGCTCTCTCCCCACAGACTGTATCTGGGAAACCCCATGGATCCTCCTGACCTGTTGAGTGTGGAACTGAGCACCTCCCGACCCACCCAGCACCTAGGAAGAGTGAAAAGTAAGAGCCCTCCCACATCCTGGTTCCCTTGTTCATTAGCTACCCAGGAAGGGACACTGTCTTCTCAGGACACCCTGAGCCTGCTGTTCTTCCCTGGGGACAGCTGGGTCAGGGTAGCAGGCGGGACAGCTGTGACCCTGGCTCCGACTGGGCGTGGGGTGGAAGAAGGGAGGCAGCTGTATCCGCTTAGGTGGGCATCCTAAGATTGGTCCTGTATCAGCCCTGCCCACCTCAGCTTCTTCCTCCCTCCTTCCTCAACAGCCTGCTCAGATCCTGGCTTTCCTCTCTTTCCCCTAATCCTGCTCTTCTCTCCTGAGCCAAAACCACCCCACGGGCTCCATCTCAGCCAGGAGCCTCATCCATCTCCTGGCTCCTGTCCTGTCATTCTGAAACACGGTTGTCCCCATCCTGCTGCCCATTTCCTCCCATCAGTTGGGTTTGTATATTCACTCACTTCTATTCACTTCTCTCTCCCCGCCCCTCACTGCACCCTTTCCCCCCCCTCCCTCCCTCCCTCCCTCCCTCTCTCTCTCTCTCTCTCTCTCTCTCTCCAAACCTTCCGGCTTTGTCTCGCTCTCTTGTCTTCTGTCTTGCTTGGTCATTCTCCTTTCCTGTCCGCATGGCCTGTCTTGCAGGGGAGCCTCCACCTCGCCCACCTCAGCCTGCCATCTTCACTCAGAGTAAGTGGGGCTGCTCAGGATGCCTTGGCCCCTGCCCTCGCCCCCTTTCTTCTCTCACTTCTCCTCTCTTCCTGGAAGGTACAGATCCCTGGTGGCTGGCTTGGGTGGGAGGGGAAAGCAGGTGTGTGCTGTGAGCTTTTGCTGACCTGGTCCAGCATGCCTGCCTCCCTGCTCCACACCCCCAAAATCTAGGTTTCACAGCAGGTTTTTACCTTGATCTTCCATGGCTTAGTCCTGCCTCACTCCCTTTCAGGCCTGCAGAGGCTGTTTGTGGTGGTAGTTCAAAAGCTCTGTCTTCCCAAAAGATAGCTCCTGTTGCCCATGCCTGCACTAATGGTGTGCTGTAATGGAGAGGGGGATACGGGTTTACTAACAGGGTCCAGAAGCAAGGATAGTGGGGGCCTTGTGTTGATGGGGGAACATCAGAGACAAGACACAAATGGGATATGGCCTGCTCTAATTTAGGTGGAGGCAGGGGGCTTACCAGCCCTCGTAGAGGGCTGACAGATAGCAAGCTCTAGTCTCCTGTTGAGTGGGGTCAGGTGTGCACTGAGAATTTTGGCAGCTAAGAGGCATCTTTTTGAGAATTGGTGGTGGAAAGTTGGTGGGGGATACTTGGCTTTCTTGTCTCCCATCCCTGTCTAACACTGCCTCCTTGTTGGGGTCTTCCTTTCCATCACAGAACCAACCTATGATCCTGTGAGTGAGGACCAAGACCTACTGTCTGGTGACTTCAAGAGGCTGGGCCTGCGGAAGCCAGGTCTGCCCCGAGGGCTGTGGCTATCAAAGCCCTCAGCCCGGGTGCCCGGCACCAAGGCAGGCCGCAGCAGTGGGGGCGAGGTCACGCTCATTGACTTTGGTGAGGAACCTGTGATTCCAGCCTCTCGGCCCTGTGCACCCTCTCTGGCACAGCTGGCCATGGATGCCTGCTCTTTGCTGGACAAGACCCCTCCACAGAGCCCTACACGGGCACTACCACGACCCCTGCATCCCACGCCTGTGGTGGATTGGGATGCACGCCCGCTTCCTCCTCCCCCTACCTACGATGATGTGGCCCAAGACGAAGATGACTTTGAGGTCTGCTCCATCAACAGCACCCTGGTGGGTGCAGGGCTTCCTACTGGGCCCAGGCAGGGAGAGACCAATTACGGCTTTGTGCCAGAGCAAGCACGGCTCCCTGCTGCCCTGGAGGACAACCTGTTCCTCCCACCCCAGGGTGGGGGCAAGCCTCCCAGCTTGGCCCAGACCTCGGAGATCTTCCAGGCACTGCAGCAGGAGTGTATGCGGCAGCTCCAAGTTCCGACTGGCTCACTGGCCCCCTCACCCAGCCCAGGGGCTGATGATAAGCCCCAGGTGCCTCCCCGGGTACCCATCCCCCCTCGGCCCACACGCCCACGTGTTGAGCTGTCTCCAGCCCCCTCAGGTGAGGAGGAGATAGGTCGGTGGCCTGGACCTGCCTCTCCTCCCCGCATACCTCCCCGGGAACCTCTGTCCCCTCAAGGCTCTAGGACCCCCAGCCCCCTGGTACCACCTGGCGGTTCCCCCCTGCCACCCCGGCTCTCAAGCTCACCTGGGAAGACCATGCCCACTACCCAGAGCTTCGCTTCAGACCCCAAGTATGCTACACCCCAGGTGATCCAGGCTCCTGGCCCACGCACAGGTCCCTGCATCTTGCCCATTGTCCGGGATGGCAAGAAGGTCAGCAACACCCATTATTACCTGTTGCCTGAGCGCCCGCCCTACTTGGAGCGCTACCAGCGTTACCTGCGTGAGGCCCAGAGCCCTGAAGAGCCGGCCCCTCTGCCTGTGCCCCTGCTGCTGCCCCCACCCAGCACCCCAGCCCCTGCTGCCCCCACTGCCACTGTTCGACCAATGCCCCAGGCTGCTCCAGACCCCAAGGCCAACTTCTCCACCAACAACAGCAATCTAGGTACCCGGCCACCATCCCTGAGGGCCACTGCTCGGCTGCCACAGAGGGGCTGCCCTGGGGATGGGCCAGAGGCTGGCCGGCCATCTGACAAGATCCAGATGGTGAGTGCCAGGCTGGCTTTGAGGTGAGGTGGGTAGGGGCCCAAGGGATCCAGAGAAATGGGCCTGAGTGGTGCTGATGGGTGGGTGTGCCCAGCTGCAGGCCATGGTGCATGGGGTGACCACAGAGGAGTGCCAGACGGCCCTGCAGAGCCACAGCTGGAGTGTGCAGAGGGCTGCCCAGTATCTGAAGGTACTACCACCTCTTGCCTGCTCTCTGGCATGCAGGGACCCTGAAGAGTGGTTCTATTGCTCCTAGCCCCCACCTCCTGGTTTTGACTCCTGCCCCAGCCGGTCTCATGGTATCACCCTCTGCCCCTCAGGTGGAGCAGCTCTTTGGGCTGGGTCTGTGGCCACGGTTGGAGTGCCACAAAGTGCTAGAGATGTTCGACTGGAACCTAGAGCAAGCTGGCTGTCACCTTCTGGGCTCCTGTGGCCCTGCCCACCACAAGTGAGTGAGCCCCTATCTCCTTGTCCCAGGAGGGGTCCCTAGAGCATGCCACAGGAAGAAAAAAATGCAACACCTGAAAGGCCATACTCAGCCAGGTGAAGATAGGGCTCCCCAGCTGGGAGTGTAGGCATACAACCCAGGAAACAGGTAGTTTGGGTTGAAAGTGACTCCTAAATGAATTTGGACCTTGAGCCACTTGGTTTCCACTGGAGATGATGAGTACAAGAGGAACTTGCATCCTCTGGATGAAGACTAACTTCCCTAGCTCCTCAGAGAACTATGTGCTCCAGGGAGCAGGACTTTAGGCCCAATGATTTGAACAAATGTTTCTCGCATCTTTTTTCATGTTTGTGTTTTAACATTTCAAATGTTAATGCCTTTTGGTGGGGGGGATAGGTATTGGGGATTGAACCCAGGGGCGCTTTTATCACTAAGTTGCTTAAGCCCTTGCTAAATTGCTGAGGCTGGCTTTGAACTTCTGATCCTCCTGCTTCCCCAGACAGTTGCTGGGATTACAAGTGTAAGCCATCGTGCCTTGCTGAATTTCAGTCAAATGCTAATGCCTTTTTAAAGGAATATTCAACCAAAACAACAACAAAGTCGCCTTCTTTCCTGTCAGAACCTTATATTTGTATATAACAAAATATATAGCATATAAATAACATAATGATATATAAATATGTGTATGAAACTTAAGTCCAAAATAGTTGAACAGGCAAATAAATGAAGCATAGGCATCATTTCAGGAAATGAGCACTGGTGGGATATGAGGTTCAACTTGCTGGGCTTAGGAGGTGGATAGTCCAGGTGAACCAGGCTTTGCTGCTCCCTGATGGTGTGAGCTTGTGCACATTTCTGAGTCCTTGACTTCCTCATCTGTAGTTTTTAATCAGAAGCAATTAGAAAGATACAAGAAGTAGATCTGTCATACTGAATATGCAGGAGAATCACTAAGTGTTAGATATCATCTCAGGATCATTCTTCCTAATCTGCATTCAGATAAATTTGGGATTTATTATCTTTGTTGTCCTTGGATACACCAGGACACAATAGTGCTATTCTCTTAATTTATTCATGGTTTATTAAAGAAAAAACATTCCATGATTATAAGTTCCAAAATTATTGCCTAGAACAATCAGTTTTCAACTCGTTTGCCTGGTGCCTAGAGGCAGTTTCTTCCTGTGGCTCTCTAGTGCTCAACCACACTGGAGTTTCCATCACCTGTTTATCTAACCCATGTTGATGGAGGGATTTTTTGATTCTTTCCCATTCTTTAGGCGCTGAGAGGTATCTGGAGATTAAGATTCTGCTCTGAAGGAATCACTTGAGCCTATCCATGTGACTAGGGTAGGGAGACACTCCCACCCAGGCCTGGAGGAACTGCTGCTATCTGCTGCTCCCAGTGGACAGAGTAAAGCCAAGGCAGCAGGAGGCTGAGAATCCTGCCTTGCCCATCTCCCCAACCAAGCACTGACCCTGCACACTTTGGTTTAGACCTCAGTGTCCCAGCTAAGAGGTGGGAAGGAGCCCTGTAACAAGCTGGGGGCTGCCTCAGCAGGCCCTATGTGTGACTTGCCTCTGGCTCCAGTCTTTGACAGGGCCTGTGACAGGGCCTGTGACAGGGGTGTGTCCTCAGGCCCTGCCCAGGGGAACAAGACTGAGAGGAAACCAGGCATGTCCTGGGCAGGGAGGATATATTGACCCTACAGAAAAGTGGGTCAGCACCTGGAAAACCCTAAGGGCTGGGCCCTTTTCCAGAGAGCCTCTGGCAGTCAGTTGGGGGTGCCAGACAGAATGTGACTTGTGGCCTCACCGTGGACATGTTATGAGGCTTGTTTGGTCTTAGAATCTTGTACCTGGATATAGCTCATGGTTGTTTAGGAAGCAGAGAAGGGGTGCCAGACCATCTTCTGGCAGGGACCAGGGCCGTAGGCCCCAGGGTTGGAAGGAGACCAATGGAGCATCTGCCCTGGGGGAATACCAGTGCTTCCTGTTTGATCCTATTCCACGCCCCACCCGGTGCCATCCATATTTTCCCACCAGCCTCTGTGGCCAAAGTTGCTGCCCCAGCTATGGATACTGCTTCTTCCAGAGAAATAAAGTTAGTTTCTATTTTATGTTATTTACTTGTGCCTGCCTGTTTTTTTTTTTTTTTTTTTTATACTTCTTAGCAGTTTGAAAGCCCCAAGGCTCGCCAAGTCATTATCATCTGTTCAGGGATCAGGCCTTGTAGCACCACCTGTAGGCAGAGGGAGGAAATGCAGGCAAGGGAAACCCCAAGCCTCTTAGCAGGGCTGTCCCAGAAGACAGCCTGTGCTTTTTTTTTGGTTTGTTTTTGCGTTTTAATTTTTTTTTTTTCGTAATTGTAGATGAACAGCATGCCTTTATTTATTTTTTTTAATGCTGTCCTAAGGTTTGAACCTAGTGCCTCACACATGCTAGGTAAGCATTCTGCCACTGAGCTACAGCCCCATCCCCAGCCTGTGTTTATACTCCTTGGATTACTTTAATGCAGGATATGCTGCAGGTGAGAGGACAGCCACCAAGTTAACTGGAGCTAAGCCAGAAGACTTAGTAACAAGGAAGGCTTCAATATGTAGAAGTATTTTCTTTTGCTTAATAAAGTATTCACATGGTTCAAAATTCAGAAGATATTAAAGAATGTACAGTGAAGCATCCCACTCCAGATGCCCACTTCCCTCCCCAGAGCCTGCCTTTATCATCCATTTCTTGTGTATTCTTTCTTTCTTTTAAACTTACAGTAGTTTGAAGAGCTTCACAGCAATATTCAAAGAGCTTCCCCATATGGTTATCTGGGTTACCATATCTTTTTAACCATGCTCTTTTTTCAATTTTAAAAATTGTTGCACAGTGGTGGGATTTATTGTTACATATTCATACATGCACACAATATACTTTGTCCAATATCATTTCCCAATATTTCCTCTTGACCCCCACCTGCTGTCCATTTTCTCTACTGATCTCTCTTTGTTTCATGAGATCCCCATCACCACCTTTCTTTTCCCTCTCTAGCTTCTATATATGAAAGATAACAAACTACCTTTGACCTTCCGAGTTTGACTTATTTAATATTTTCAAGTTTCATCCATTTCCTGCAAATGACATAATTTCAGATTTCTTTATGGCTGAATAAAACTCCCTTTTGTATATATACTGTATTTTCATTATCCATTCATGTGTTGATGAACACCTAGACTGGTTCCATAATTTGGCTATTGTGAATTGTGCTGCTATAAACATAGGTCTGCATGTATTGCTATAGTATGAAGACTTCAATTTTTCAGGATGATACTGAGAAAAGATATAGCTGGGTCACATGGTGGTTCCATGCCTCGTCTTTAAGGAACCTCCATGCTAATTCTATAGTGGTTGTACTACTTTAAGGTTTCACTAGCAGTGTCAAAGTATTCCTTTTTCTCCACATCCTCTCCAGCATTTACTATTGTTTTTTTTTGCATCAGGGATTGAACCCAGGGGTGCTTAACCACTGAGCCACATCTCCAGCCCTTTTTATATTTTATTTTAGAGACAGGGTGTTGCTGAGTTGCTTAGGGCCTTGCCAAGTTGCTGAGGCTGGCTTTGAACTTGTGATCCTCCTGCCATAGCCTCTCCAGCTGCTAGGATTATAGGCATGCACCACCGTGCCTGGCCGTTTGCATTTTTTTTTTTTTAGTTGTAGATGGACACATGCATTTATTTATTTTTATGTGGTACTGAGGATCAAATCCAGTGCCTCACATGTGTTAAGCAAGAGCTCTACCACTAAGCCACAACTCCAGCCCTGTTTTTGTATTCTTGATGACTGCCATTCTGATTGAAGTGATGAAATCTCAGGATAGTTTTGATTTCCATTTATTAATTGAGTTATTCTCTTTTTTTTTAGTGTTAAGTTTCTTGAGTTCTTTATATTAATCCTCTGTCAGAAGAGTGGCTAATGAAGATTTTCTTCATTCTGTAGGTTCTCTCTTCACATTCCTAATGGTTTCCTTTGCTTTACAAAATCTTTTTCATTTGACTTTATATTATTTATTAGCTCCTGGCGTTATTTCCTGAGCTTTAGGGGTCCTATTGAGAAAGTCATTGCCTATGCTTGTATGCTGGAGTGTATACCTTATATTTTCTTCTAGGAGTTGCAATTTCTGGCCTAATTCTTAGATTGTTGATCCATTTTGAGTTTATTTTTGTGCAGGGTGAGAGATAAGATAGTCTCATCCTTCTAAGTGTGGATAACCAGTTTTCCCAGCATCATTTGTTAAAAAGGCAGTCTTTTCTCCAATGTATGTTTTTGGCACTTTTGTCAAGGATCAGACGATTGTAGATTTGTGTGACATAAATAAGTTACTGATTGGCAGAAATGGTGTGGGTTTGACTATGTGGGTTTGTCTCTGTGACTTCTATTTTGTGTTTCTGTTTTTATGCCAGTATCATGCAGTTTTAGTTACTGTAGCTCTTTTAGTATAATTTGAAGTCAGGTATTGTGATACCTCCAGCATTGCTTTTTTGGCTTAGAATTGCTTTGGCTTTCTGTCTCTCTCATCCTTCCAAATGAATTTTAGGCTGTTTTTCTAGTTTTGTGAAGAATATTATCAGTATTTTGATGAGGATTGCGTTGTATATTTTGGTAGCATGGCCGTTTTAACAATATTATTTCTGCCTATTCATGTACATGGGAGATTTTTCCAACTTCTTGTGTCTTTTTCAGTGTTCCATAATCATGCTCTTCTTTTTTAAACCTTTATTTTTATTTATTTATTTATTTATATGTGGTGCTGAGGATTGAACCCGTTGCCTCTCATTTGCTAGGCGAGCACTCTTCCACTGAGCCACAACCCCAGCTCCAATCATACTCTTCTTAAGAGATATTTTGGTTGTTCTCATTTCTTTGTAATTACAGCTATTGGTGCATAAGTCACATATGTGGGCTATCTTTCATTGGCAAGTCAATCAGAAGGTGGTGAAATTCCTGGGTCAAAGAGCCTGTGCATTGACGATGGATGTTGCTAAATTGTCCTCAGTAGAGAATGCAGTGCCAGTTGCCATACCAGCAGTGTGTGAGAACTGTTTACATGATAGGGAACTTTCTGATCTTTGTCAGATTGACTGGCAGAAAATGGTGTGTTTAGAGTTTTGATTTGCATTTCTTTTATGAGTGAACACAGTTAAAGTTGAGCCATTTGTATTTTCTCTCTTGTGAGTTGTCTGTTAATATCCGTGACCCATTTTTTTCGCCTGCCCATCCTCTCCACGACCCATTTTTAAAAAATGAGATTATTAATCAGTTCTTGTGTTTGGAGGAATTGCTACATTGAGGACATTAGTTCTTTGAGCTTAATGTATTATATGGACTTTAAGAAAAGAGGTAATCATAGAAAGCAAGATGGGAGCTTCAGTTTATTAAAATCAAAGTGGAAGCCATTCAGGATGGGTTGTGGCCAGTAAGCTTTGAGTATTGCTATTAGACCTGGCATCTATTTCCAGCTGTGTTTCATCACATAAAAGATATTCAACCAGGGCTGGGGATATGCTCAAGCGGTAACGTGCTGGCCTGGCATGCGCTGGGCGCTGGGTTCGATCCTCAGCACCACATAAAATAAAATGAAGATGTTGTGTCTGCCGAAAACTGAAAAATAAATATTAAAAAAATTCTCTCTCTCTCTCTCTCTCTCTCCCTCTCTCAAAAAGATGTGTCCACCAAAAACTAAAAAATAAATATTAAAAAATTATCTCTCTTAAAAAAAAGATATTCAACCAGCCAGACACAGTTGTGGATTACACACCTGTAATCCCAGCCATCTGGGAGACTGAGGCAGGACTGGGAATTCAAGGCTAGCCTGGGCAACTTTGCAAGACCCTGTCTCAAATTAAAAAACAATTACCCTTTCAGGTAAACTGAGGGAGAGAAATTCCTGCTTCAAAGGATGGTTGTAGGGACTAAAGGAGGTCACAAAGGTAGACTTTTTGCCCAGTGCATGGGCCATAATAATGTGCCCACTAAACTGTAACCATTATAAATTTTATTTTTCATATTCCTTTCTGTTTTTGCCAATTAGCAACTTATTTGATCATACACCTACCACATGTGTATAGAATTGTGTTCTACTTTTCCCATTTTCCCTTAAAAATTCTTAAATGGTTTATTCTTTTGCTACACAGTTGTCTTAGTTCAGGAACATTGTTAACTCCATTTAAACATCAGTTTTTTGGTAAATGATGGCAGCCTTTGTACACTGTAAGAGGGTTTAATAATCTGTTAGAGGCTAAGGCAGGAAGACTACAATTTTGAGGCCAGCCTGGCATCTTAGCAAAACTATCTCAAAATAAAGGAGCTGGGGCTGTATCTCAGAGGCAGAGCTCTCGCCTGGCATGTACGAGGTCCTGGGTTTGATCTTAGTACTACAATCAAACAAACAAAAAACATTCAAAAGAGTCCCCCCCCCCCCAAGGGTAGGGATTCCACAGCATCTGGAGGTTTTTCAGGATCAGGAGATTATGTCATACATAGTTTCCTAAACCTTAGGGTTTCCTGCTGGTTGTCTTATAGTCTGCCTGCAGCTCTTGCAAGCATCTCCTGGATTTACTGAGATCTTAAGGGAGCATGTTGAAAAAGCTGACTCTGCTTTGCCAACATGGGGAATCATCTCAGGATTTATTGGGCACTTTGTGTCGAACCCTGATGATGGGGCACAAGCCACATAGACAGTCTACCCCTGGGGAGGAATTGACAGTCTTTTGGGAACTGTGATATCATTATAGCAAGATGATGAGTGCTGTACAATCACTCTGTTCCTGAGGAGTTCCTCCTCAGAAGGTAACCTTGGGCTGACTTGATGGGTAAGATGCTAGGAAGTTGAGGGGGTGACAACATTGCAATAGGCTGCTGTAAAAATTAGAGTCATGAACTGGCTTGTCCTAGAGCCTACTGTTCTCTTGGGGTGGGTTGGAGGCAGCTCTTGAGATCTTGGTGAGAGAGGCAGGCTTGAATCAGGAAGATGCTGGTGTGAAATGGCTGAGGTATTTTTTTTTTAATTTTTGCATTATGATTATACATAACAGTGGGAATTTTTGTTACATATCTATACATGCACCCAATGTAACAGTATA